TGTGAGAAATAAGTATTTTTTTGGTTAAACTTGTTTGGACTTATTGTACAAACCCATTTAAAATCCGCTATTTTTACATAATATTATGTATAGAGTTTAATTCAGTGTTTGCAATATTAATTTCACTATTTTTAAATTAATGTCTATATTGCCATGAAGCAATTACCATTTTCTTGTCTGGGATCTTCCTACTGGTGACCTAATCAAAATGGCCGACATGGATGTGGGCGGAGTTGGACATCCATCCTTGGCCTCCTGCCTCACCTGTTTGCAATGATCCTCTGGACGATGTCGTCGGTGGTGAGGTTGTTCCCGCTGTCGATGGTCCTGAAGATGCCGCGTTTCTTGGCTTCCTGCGGACAGAAGAGGCCCCTGAGCCCTGATCTCAGTCTGAAAACAACCGGAGGGTTCTGGACTCACAGCGTACGGGTCCGAGCCGTCCTTATCCGGGAACACCTCCGTCTTACCGTGACACACCAGATCCACCTGCACACACACACACGGAAAAGGGTTTATAGACTTTTAAATGGACATTGTGTAGTATTTTAAGTATTTTATTAGCTAAAATCATGTTCTTAATTTCTAAATGTGTCTTCATTTGGTGTAAAATGACCTCTGACATGATCGGACTTCTCCTCAAAAGGAAGAATATCCTATCTTTACATACACAGGACGGGTAAGTTCACAGAGGTTTCCATGCCGATCCGCCATTTTGAAAAGCTATAATGGCAGAGAGGGACATAAACGGTAGTCTGCCTGTCTATCTGATCCAAAACACGTTTCCCTTCAGAGCCAAAAATGCTCACACATTCAATGCAGTTTGTAATTTCTTTTAAATGACAAACCTCATCACCCATTAGAAGAAAACCAGACGATGTAGAAGTCATGTGAGCAGATTTGTTAGGATGTAAAATATAATTTCACCGTTAGATGGAGGAATTCCTGCACCGTGAACCTTTAAAGATAAAGCTGCTGCACCTGTTACTTCAGCTGAGTGGAATATTTCCCCTACCGGCCGATTTATCTGAAACTCAAAGCTGCTGTATTCTCACGATTGTCCACAAGGGGGCGCCATATGGCTCAGGTTTCTTTCAACTTCACTCCTTTAAGATCCAGCCTCTTTCCACAGATGCAGGACGAGGCTGATGTTTGACGCTGGACGTGAGAAAAGCTCCACACCGAGGTCTAAAAAGGCTGTTTGTCTTATATTTACCAACTATCTTGCTTTCCTAAACCCACCGGGCAGTTTTACTGCTTTAACCAAACAAAAACAGGGACAGAAGGCTGAAAATAAAATAAAATATTGAGCCCAGACCACATTTTTCTCACTGAAAACACTCTAAATATTATTATTACTATTATTTTTGCTCTGCTGGATGACCCTCAGGATTTATTTCAGCCACCATCTTCACACTTTAGTTTTTTTTTCTGTAAAATGTGAACTCCATATTTATCAGGCCAAACCACAAAGTGCAATACCATATCACTCACTCACTTTAATTTCCTGAGGGAGTCTTCCCAAGGGATCAATAAAGTACAAGTCTAAGTCTAAGTCTGAGTCTAAACGTGTGGCATTAAGTCCACAATTTAAGGACTTAAACACAGCAGGGTGGATTTTTAGTTCTGGTTGGTGGTGAATGTGGTGAAGGTTTCCCTTCCTGGGGGAAAACCCACCTTAAAGTGATCCAGCAGGTCCTTTCCAACGGCGTAGGGCGCCCCGATCACCACCTCCGACACGTACTGAGGACACACGAGAGCAGAGGGAGGAGGTGAGTTTGGTCTGGTCTGAGTCAGTTTGGACTCCTTTATGGGAGGAATGTGGAATATTTCTGGGCCTGAACACGAGCAGACGGGGCACAAAGATTCATTGTTTCTTCAGAGGTCGATAGCTGACCGGCAGGAATGAGGGGAACAGTGTGTGTGTGTGTGTATGTGTGTGTCTGAGTGTGTTTGTCTGT